AGGAACGCAAAAAGTCTTTTGAATGTCCGTAGACCTTTGCTTTTGATTCTTCTGTTTCTGTTCGTCTGGAGAATATAGCTGCTGCTTTTTTGAATTTTCATTCAAAGCTTAGAAGGCACCAAATCCAATTTTGCTGCAACTGTGCTTTTAAATACCATGCCATGAATCTAGTAATGTGAGTTTGTAACAAGACCTATCTATTATTGGTTGCTTTTTTTCCCTTCTGAAACCTTTCTATAACTTATTTTAATACTTAAATAACGGATAGATAGCCAGTTAAAGGGTCCTAGAAAGAGGATTTGTGAGGCTTTATTTCAAAATTAATATTTCTGCTATACCTTGTAACATTTGGAGTATTTTAGAATCGTAAGGATATGTAAAATGTCTTTGGAGTTTATAAAAGAGGGAATGTATTTTTAAGGTCTGTAGAAGCTGTGTTCTGTGTCTCAGCTGTCTTGTGTTTGACGATGCAGCTTGTATTTTTTCTGTTCAGAGCTATTTCTTTAGGAAACTTTTAGCATTAGCATTTTTATATTTGCAAAACAACTGCAGCTTTCTGGGCAGATCAGATCGTTCTGCTATTCAAAACAGTGCCAATACAGCGACAAGATGCTTTTGCAGATGATGATTAATTCCTGGTATCCAGAATGTATCTTTCAATGTGTGTGATAAGAAGGTGTATTCAGGGATTGATTTGCTGCGAAATGATGCCTTGCTACCATAATAAAAGACTATTTAAAATTACAAAACAAAAATCCAGCTATTCTGTTACATCTTGATAGGGATTTTAATCTCCATCTGCACAGATTTTAAACACTAAATTTGACTATTCTTAATCTGGAAAATAGTTCAAAGCTGCAAGTTGTGCATGCACTCCATTTTAGTCAATGCAAGTAGTATTGACACCGAGTAGTTTGAAAGCTATTACAGGCCTGTCATCCTAGAAAGCAACCTGCTGGGGAATATTGCCACGTGCTTGCTGGTGCAGGCACTGCTGCCTTCGTGGAGTTGGAGGCACTTCTATCAAAGTGGCAGGCGATGAGTAAAAATACTTGTACCATCTTGTGTTCTCCTTTGCCATATGTACCACTGAATAGCAAACTTGCTGAATTATTTTGAATTCACACATGGCTAGTCAGTTTGTTGTCCTCTTTTTGCTTTCAGTGATGGAAAGTCCAACTAATAAATAAATCCTGTTGTGGTTGTCTTAATAGATATTGCTTTTACGGTAACAGTAATTAATTTCACATACAATTTCGTGATGAACGCTGTTTTTAAAGGGAATTAGAAAGGATTTATTTTTAAAGAAAGTTCTGTTTAGTAGTAGTGGCCTTGATACTGTATGTAGTGTGGTAAGAAAATGGTAGCATGCATCATTTAATACATAAGGAACTTACATATTTATATCTTTTTATCAGCCTCTGCACTATTATTTCTTTTACTTCCTGTTATTAGGTGGGAATATGCTACATATCTGGCTTTGCTTCCTGTAATATTAAGGCTGAGTGTGAATGTTAAAAGTAATATGAGGTATTAGTTTAGCATATACATTATATGTCAGAGCAGAAAAGCTGCTTCATGTAACTGTGCTCTGCAGACCTGAAAATTAATTGCTAAGTCAGTTTGTTTAATTCAGAAGAATGTTCCACCTTTGAATTCTCTGGAGCTGATCTGCCTCGAAAGAAAAGAGGAAATAGATACAATTGCCAACAGTAGATACAAAACCTTCCTAATTAGCACATAATGCTAATTTAATGTATTGAATCTCTGTATAGTAATAACTAATATCCCTTTTTTCATTGAGTTATTAAATCTCAGTAGGATGCCTAGTGTAATAAAAAATCAAACTCAACTGCTAGTATTATTTCTAAGAATTTTAGTACTCTTAAGTGGTACTTTGGTCATTTCCATTGAGTGTTCACACTTTAGAAAATGTAGGTACAAGTACATGTAGGTACAACTTTCCTTCTCACATAAGTCTTATCTCCTGCTTCTCAGACCTTTTCATTTGCTGAATCCTTCCTGTAAGAGTATGTTGGTGGGTATTTATTATTCCTTCTTTCAGGCGCATGCAGGATTATTATTATTTTTTTATTATTATTTTCCTATGGAATCTGGTAGCTATTTTTGCTTAAGTTGTTACATTTTTTAGGTGTGAGCTGATAATAAAAAAAAAGGAAACTTACACTAGTGTATCTTATTAATAGTTTAAGGTGTTTTTAATGAACACTTTTCTCCCCAAAATCAGTGTCTAGAAAGAGCCATGAAGTTTGCGTTCGAAGAGTTTCATCTCTGGTATCAGTTTGCATTGTCCTTGATGGCAGCAGGAAAAGTAAGTCTTACGTTGTCCATGAAATTCTTGTATTGATGGTTATTGCTAACAATATCTGGTATTCTATACTTTTTAATTTCTAAGTGTTTTTGCAAATTATGCTAATATTTAAATCAGATAAAGTATATGGCAGAATTTTTGTCTATAATGTAAAGGTGTGTGAAAATCTTTATTCCAGTCATTTTGATGAACAGATGTTCTGTTTAGGTGCAAATTAATTCTGATTCGTGATTCCCTTATTCTTCATTCAGAATTTGTGCATTGTGTCTTTTGTTATTACTGTCTACACAATTAAACTGGGATGCATTATTTTAATTATTGTTTTATAGAAATTGGGAGCTTTTATCATCAGATGTAGTCTTCTCCTTCCGCTTGCTTTTGTTTTTCCCGCTTGCTTTTGTTTTTCCCTTTTCCATTATGGAAAAGAAACTGAATTTATTATGTATTGTATAGAATTGATGCTAGAGGTGTGTGTGCATGTTTGTTTGTTTGTTTTTAATATTATTCATAGTAGAGGTATTTTGCTTATCTTCAGTGTTGGGGGAAAGGGATGGTTTATGTTTTTCTTAGAAATTATTATTTAGAAGTACATTGGTTCTTGAGGGTCTTGTTTCTTCCTCCCATTCTTCATTTTGCTCTGAGTTATCTTCTAAGCCGTTATTGGATATAAGTGGATGAAAAATGCTCTCAGAAATGAGGAGTGCTGCCATAAACTCTTGTTTCCTGCAATAGCTGTTCATAAGAGCTCTCGTAGCTCCTGGGGGACGTGAGAGCACAGCCTGTTCTGCTGCCTGGTTCCAACTGCTGCTCTTTCTTTCACCTTGCTCAAATGCTGTGAGCGCACAGGCCTAGCAAAGCTCTAAATGCACCTCAAAAGCAGTCTCTAGATCATATACCATTGGATTCATTTTATGAGCCAATATTTCACCCGGGACACTTAGTCATAGTTCGTAGTGGGAAAATTACAGCAGTGCCTGAAGTCTTGTATTTCACTTGTACAAGTTGTTGTGACAGTTTTTCAACAGAATGTTTCATAATGGTTCCTTCTCATAGGGAAAAGAGGGTAGAAAATGGGAATAGGAGTTGTATATCTGTGAAATATATTTATGCTTTTAGTAATTTTCATGGGAAATGTTTTTAACAGTCTGCTCGAGCAGTTAAAGTGCTGAAGGAATGCATCCGTTTGAAACCAGATGATGCAACTATTCCCCTCCTAGCTGCAAAGCTCTGTATGGGATCTCTCCACTGGGTAAGCTTTGCCACTGCTTCTTTTCAGCAAGAGCTGAGTATCTAAATTGCAGCAAAATCCAAAATCTTAGTTGAGGAGTGCCAAAAAATAGTTTGACTGTCCTATTTCAGGAAACAAGGAGTGATATTGCTTGTTGTATTGCTTTCCTGTCCTAGTACATTTCATATAAAATATAAGATGGTGATTTTACTGTATTGCAACTGTTTTGAAGCACAAATTTAGCTCGGTTGTAAAGTTTAAAATTTATTAGAAATTGAAACACACATTGTTGCCATATGGAGATTAAAAATGTGAATTAGACTTTTCTTTTTCTCTGTGCAAGAGGAAAGTAACTTTTTTGGAAGTTAATGGAACAAAATTGTTGCCAATTCTCAAATCTTTTCAAGAAATTCTTCTGTTTATCTCATGCTTGTAATGCTACGTTTTGTTTTAGATGGCCTTCAAATTGGTTTATCTGTACAAAAACACTAAGGTGATTAAAGATAATCATATGCTTTCCGAGATAAACGTGTAATTTTCAGAGCAGTGACTGGAGAGAGATGTTAGGTACCTACTTAAAAAAAAAAAAAAAGAGGAGGAGAGGAAGGAAATGTTGTAAGCAGAAATTCAGAAAATAGTGCAGTGGTAGGTAGGAACATGACTTGCTGAGGCCAACAAAAGTGCAGTCTTATAATAATTAACCTAGATCCTACTTCTGTAAATTGTTCTGTTTGGATTGACCTTGCATGGAGCCTCTTGCAGTATTTCTCAATTGCATTTACTGGAATGGATTCAAATTCCTGCTACTGTCTTATTTCTGGATTAAATAGTGTGCCAGGAGGGTATGCGGTCTGTTTAAATCCCATTATTTTATATATTTTCGTCATGTATTTATCAGCCTCCATGCTTTCAGCAATACTGTATGTAATGCAGAGATCTGGTTAGGCTTCTTTTGAAGGATTGCAGCTATAGTTCTTGGAACTGATTTTCTAAAAGTAGTAGTATATGGAACAAGAGCTCTTTTAACTCTGAAAGGCAAAAAAATAAAGACAAAACAAAATAAAAAATAGGATGAATGAGCTTAGAATGAACTGTGTCAAGTGCCAGTGTTTCTTAACCATAAGATAAAATATATTTAAATCTATGTCAGGTTAAGTCTGTGCTCTGTACTGTGAATTTGTAGTAGGCCTAGCTTTCCTTCCAAAGGGAAGTGTTGGAAGGAAAGCTAGGCCTACTACAAAGGGAAATAGAGTCCTTCAAGGCAATAAGGACTGACATTTTAGAATTGGTGTGCATAATACTCATGCTATGTGTTATTACTGTAATGTAAACTTTAGCTAGCTTTAGACTGTCACTGATGTTTTATAATATTTTCAGTTGGAGGAAGCAGAACAATTTGCCAAAACTGTTGTTGATCTTGGGGACAAAACGTCGGAGTTCAAAGCAAAAGGCTACTTAGCCCTGGGACTGACCTACAGCCTGCAGGCTACTGATGGTAAGATGAGAGTAAACACACTCATGTTCAGAAATTCCCATATTGCCTACAAGCAGATACCCAGCAAAATACTAGATTCCAATATTAAAGCTGCTTTGTGTGATCTTCTCACAAAGCATTAACACTTCTTCAGTAAATCTCTTGATCTTGCATATCACTGATTAAATATATCCTTTTTAGCATCTTTGCGAGGGATGCAAGAGGTCTTGCAGAGAAAGGCTCTTCTTGCATTTCAGAGGTGAGTGGGTGTTAGTCTTTCATTTCATTCCACTGTATGTAGTGAAAAGCTTGATTATGTGTTTAAAAAAAGGGACTTGTAAAGATTGCAATGGGGATGTTTCCTCTGCGAGTCTCCCTTCATGAGTAGAGAGTGTATTCCTTTAACATTCACTTCATTTTTTTTTTCTGTCAAAAATAGCTAAACTGATTTCTAAAGTTTTTCCTTTCCTTTCATTTTAAAGACAGTTGTATTGTTCTCTAGGATAAAATATGTGCTTAAAGGAGTATTCTATTCTAATCTGGAGGGGAAAAATGGTATGATGTAAAGCCTTAAGTCGTGGCTGAATGTGATAGTGTTTCTAGTAGAGTTAGTAGATTGTATACCACGCTTTTGCATTTATGTTGAGGCATTGCCATGGAGAGGCAAAGCTTGGGTAGTAAGGTAGGAAGACTGGAGAAGAAAATTATTCCTATATGCAGATGTAAAAGCACAGGCAGTGACATTCTTCAAAAAGTCTTTTTTTATTCAAAAAGCCTTGCCCAGAAGTAGCACCGCTGGGGGTGACAGTGGTTCATTCTCAAAGGTTTGCCCCTGCAAGCAGTGACTGTTTGCAGGTGAACGTGGCCCACTTCGCCCACTGGATATAGTTACAAAACAAGCAAGGCTTGACTGCAGAGCCAGCAGAAATACTGCAATCTCAATGTGCCTCCCTTTATGTTTAAACATTCTTGCAAAATCCTGTTTTATTGAGATAGGTCTAAATACTTCAATTTGTGAATTAATATGAGCAAACTTTTATGTGAGTGTAAAATCTCGGCCTTTGGGGGTATGATGGTTGTCTATCTGAGAGGCTAGGTTTGAAGGAGTGCTTACCAGGCAACGCTAGAGTGAAGCCGGTACGTATTGGCCATTCCTTTCTCTACCCATAACCGTTCCTGTTTGTGTAAATATGCTTTAACACACATCTGTTTTTATAGTTCCTTAATGGTCTTAGTAGGCTTTTTACTTTAGTGTTCTTGTTCCATGTTGAAACTGAATTTTCTAGCTCCTTTTTTGTGCTTCAGTTCCTCACCCATCCCTGTTATCACAGTCTCCACTGTTTCAAAACTACTGCCCTGGTCTTTGCTCACTGTTGCTGTCTGTTCATTTGCTGGTGTACCTTTTTTTTCCACTTTTCAGGTCCTAGTATTGATTTGCTTCTTCTGCTGGCTCTCTTAAAAAGCAAGGAACATAATGAACTCCAGTCTGAAGCTAATCCATTCCAGTTCAACTCCTTATCTTTCCTTATTTTTCCTTACCCTCCCACTTACTGTAGTGCTCCCATACACTCAGAATCATTCCTTGCTAATGGGCTGCCTGGAAAACTTCTGTTTTCTGAGCTTGAGAAGTGCAACTTTTTTGACTTTTTATATATAGTTTTAAACCTGTAAATGTGGGGTTGCTTTTCTAGGTAACAATGTTGATCATTTGAACTTTAAATTGAGTAAGTGATGTTTGTGCTTTAAAAAAAAAAAAAAATGCCTCTTGATGCTCCCTTAACTGTTGAATTTCCAAGTCTTCCAAGCAGTCAGTAGTGTCAGCTGAACACTAAAACCGTATCTAGCATCTCTTCAGGTAACCATTATAGATACCCTTCAGCTATATAGTATGCAGGGAACATTAATCTTGTAGTGATATGGAGCTTTGAAATATTTGTGTTTGCTAGCAGAATATGAATTTATGCACAAAGTGTCTTAATGTGTCCATGGGGATTAATTACATCTGCATTCCCTGTGTCTTTATGATTCTTTGTTTTTTTTCAAATGATACCACATGTATTAGAAACTGTCCATATTTGTTTATGTGCACATTCCAGTGTATTCATGCTTAAACTATATATTTGACCTGTCTATGGGCATTTCCTAAAATTAACTTGTACAAAAGTTTTAAGTTCAAGTACCTACCTGATGTACAGTGCATATATTTTGGAAACCTTGCTGAACAGTTGATACTGCTGCCTGTGTTTTCTGATGATATGAATTGGATTATGTCATAGAGGCCACGGAGTAGCTGATAAACAGCAGCAGCTTTATTCTGAAGTGACTGAACCAGTACTCCTAAGTTAAAATCTTCTCTTCTTCTACCGAAAATGAATGCTTGGAAAGGCCCAGCCTGTTTCTGATAAATGAAGGTTGACTGAGAGGTATAAGAGAAGCTGCTGTAATGAATACCAGTCAGTCAGCAGTAGTGGTGAGAGGTGTCATACAATCCTCTGTGCCAAACTATGAACTTAATTTAGAGGAGATATCTGAATATGCATACATGAATAAATACATTTGTGTGTGTGTGTGTTTATGTATAAACTGTAATAATGAGGAGGAAAATCACTTTTTTCTTTTCTCTTTTTAAGGGCTCACAGTTTGTCTCCAACAGATCATCTGGCAGCGTTTTACTTGGCCCTGCAGCTTGCCATATCCAGACAGGTTAGTTCTGTTTTTAAAAATGCACCTTCCCATTGCCATGTGAAGATTAGAAACTCTGTCTGTCAGTGAATACCATTGAAAGTTTCTTCAGTAAAGTCCTACTTTTCAATATGCACATGTATATGCAAAAATGCCATAGATGGTCTGTGTTTTTCTCTCGCTTTCCCTGCAAAGTGTGCAAGTTTCTAGATATTTCCATATTTAGAAATATTCTTTCTGGACCCCTTCAGTCTTGTGGATTTCTCCAGATTTCTGCCACAAGTGTCCAGCTTTAGGGTCCCAAATAAGGTATATGACATTCAATTCTATTTTTATAAGCATTTATTTTGCTAGATGGAAAGCAGCCAAAGGCTGTGTGTGTGTATTTTTCTTATTTGTTTGTTTTTTGTTCTTTGTTCTTTTTTCCTGTGTTTAGTTTGATATTATTATCTCCACTCAGTGTAGCTGGATCTGGAGAGCGGGATTTTTGAGTCTAGGCTTGAATAATGTAGACAGTGCTTACATCTTCAGTTCTGCTAAGATATGTGCCTTTCCAAAGTACTTATAGAAAGTTTGGTTATTGTGAACAAAATTGCAAAAAAAAAAAAAAAAAGAGTATTTAAGGCAAGTGGAAAATCATTAAAGCTATAACAGATATCAGTTTGGTCCAACTTGTACTGTTGTTCTATTTAAGAGGTAGGATTCTACCATATATTACATGAATTTGCATAACGTGGAATGCTTTCTGTATGTCATGGTAAGCCTTTTCCTGTGTCAAGTTTATTTTAGGAAGTAGCTTTAAGCATGGTAGTTTACATAGTTTGGGTGGCTACTTTTTACTGCTAATGAATAGCAGAGACATTGGGCTGTGTGACATGAGAGCAAAAAATATATATATATTTTTAGTAGCAGGCTATGATGTTTCAGAATTCCATATTTTTAGTGGTGTTTAATTAAAACTCCTCTTTGTAACACTTAATGTACTTACTTTATGCAAAAGCACAGGTAGCTCAAGTCATCGTGAAATAGGAAGAAGAGTTGCACAGGCAGTTTTAACTGGATGTTTAGCTAATGCATTACAATTAAAATATTTTCAGAATCATCTAGGAGTACAGCCAGCATTTGAAAAAGAATAATATTTATCTCTTAGTGAATATTTTTAAAAGGTTGAACTGTTTCAAATTTTTTTATTATTATTCTTTCATTTACCGGGGTTAATATATGGTTTTCATTTTTGCTCTTCACCATAGTGTATCACATTCATTTCAGACTTCTGAACAGTGTTTTACAAGAGTCTTTAAATTTCTGCTTGGTATCTAAGTGAATAGTTTACTTTGAACACTTTACATATATGCAGTAGAGTAACAGGAGGCACTATTTCTAATAGCAGTGCTTTCTTTTTCCTGTCTTTTTTTTTTTTTCTTTTTCATCAGATACCAGAAGCTTTGGGTTATGTTCGTCAGGCTCTGCAGCTACAAGGAGATGATGCCAACTCCCTTCATCTACTTGCACTCTTGCTATCAGCACAGAAACACTATCATGATGCTTTGAATATCATTGATATGGCCTTGAGTGAATACCCAGAAAACTTTATGTGAGTGAATATCATGTTTGCTTTCTTCACTTTCTCTCATATTTATTTTTTTGAGACCCTCATCCCATTAATTTGCAGAGAAGATGGATTTGAATATTTGTCTCGACTTCTCTCCCTGTCCCTGCCACCCAAGGCTGTTACTCTTGCCTTTTTATTGCAGCTTTGTTTTTTAGTAATGGCTCCTTAAATAACAAGGTATTGGTTTTGGAAGAGAAGATGATAGGGCTGGGTAGCCGAGCTTATTTTCTGTTTTTCTACATAATATTTGTTTAGATAATTTCTTCCTGTTACATATGTTACATTCACTTTAGTGTATTTTTGTCTTAAGTTTTCAGGAGGTATTCTAGAAAGGATAAACAATGCTTTACTTTTAGCTACGAAAAAGTCCCATTCTGTCCTGGGATAACTTTCTGCTTATTTTATGGAATCTATTATGTAAAATACATCACAACAGAAAATCTCCTATTTTCCCTGTATAATAAGTGGTCATCTGAATCAGCTGATGGATAAGAAAATAAGTGAAAGGAGGAGAAGCCCGTGTTTGATAGATGTTCTTTTGTTGTTTAAGAAAAATCATTCTTTATGTTTATTCTTCATGTTAACTGTATCTGAAAATATATTTGGCTTTCATACGTCTCTAAGTGGACCTATAAATATGTTTTAAGTTTGCTTTATGTTCTTAGGAAACTAATCGAACACTTCAGGCTGACACATCTCCCATGCAGAGACAGCTTCCATTAACTTCAAGGAGAGAAGCAATGTCCTGTACCGATAAGCCAGTTTTATTGACAGTCACTGAAATCATAATTCTTGGTCCTGCAGACATCCTGACTTTTTTTTTTTTTTTTGAAGTATTTCATACTTGATTTTGAAATGACTGGCTTTTATCATGTGTTTTGATTATATCGGCGTATCAGAAAAATACAATTTCTTTAAAAATTACTTTAAGAATATGATTTCTTTAAGAATTACTAGTTTGAAAATAGGGATTAGCGTGTTGATTTTTTCCTGTTCTTGACCTTTCATGCCTCCTTTTCAGTGTACGTGTAAAATGTACTTGCTTTCTTTTCTCATACCTTTAACCAGGATCTTGATTTGTCACATTTCTCCTGAGGATATCTTCTGTGATCTGCATCCAGTGCAGTGTAACTGCCTTTTGTGGCCTTTCACTGTTTGACATCTCCCAGGTTGTCCTCACATGTACATGTTTGTTCTTGTTACACGCGTCCACTTGGACTTCATGATTTCAGAACTCTCTAGTCATTTATCTCCCAGACCTGACTGCTGCTTCCAGGTCTCCGGAGGATCTCTGTTGTTTGGGAGGCAAGCAAAGTATCAGCTAGCTAGTTTTATACCCTACCAGTGTTGAAAACGGCTGAGATCCAAACACTGTGGACTGTTTCCTTCTCTGTTCTTCGTTCATCTCCTGCCACTGAGTGGCAATATAAGTGACAAAGAGCAGGCTGCTATGCAGAATAGCAATGCAGACTAGCTAATATTCTAGAAGAAATATTTCTGAAATGGCAGTTCTCTCTATCTTAAGAGAGCAAAAGATCATCAAGTAAGATATTTAAGATGACTCTTGTGACTATTTGGGATGTATTGGGGCTTTTTTTTTTTTTTCCCAAATATGGCTCATGGTACAGATCAGGGAACTTGAGGAATATCTTGGCAGAAGGAGTGGCCATCAGAGGTGACAGCAGTTTCTAAGCAATCCCAGGTGAAAGGCAGCTGTGTACTTCTAGGCAGTCTTGTAGAGCACATGATTCTGTCTTCAGTGTTGTCAGGTTGCTTCTGGTTCTCCCAGATGACTGAGATTCCCTGTGTGTGCTCTCTGCTGTTGTCACTGACAGACACACATACTTGGTCTGTAAAGTAAATTTGTACTGATTCCTTCTTGTAACTGGATTATATTTGCAAAGTTTTACCATCAAGTTCTCAAGTCTGCAATGTGTCCTGGTGCACTTTATCTGATAACCTCGAAATGGTTGGCAATGTGCATATATATGAAATGCAATACACAAGTACTTTGTGTATTGCTTATTCTGCTTTTTTATCCTGCAACTTTTATAAAAGTACAATTTCATTGCCTTTTCCCAGCAGACTGGAAAGAGATCCTTTTGCATTCTGTTCAAGTTTGCTCGTTTTTAGGCATACTGAAACACTTGATTGTCTGCCTGTGTTGTTTTATTGGCTTTGCTAAACATTTCAAATGTCATCCTGTTTTTATCTTTTATCTTTCAGTTATATCTGCAAGCACAGTAAAGCTAAATAGTACATGACTTGGTATCTTCTGTATTTCTGTCAGAATCCATTACTTCAGTTTTATGCAAAACAATACTTCGGTAGCTTACAGTGTGATAAATCTCTTTCCTTGGAAAATACTGAAATAAAATATAGGGCTTTGAATTTGTGCCATTTCTTATTTCTTTTAATGCTGTCCTTATCTAATTTCTCTGTATGCTGCATTTGCTTTGTTGCACTGAGTGTTGTCCTACTCTTGTAGAACATGTTCTTTTTGTTTTGCTTTTCCTGGTGAAGTCTATCTAAATTTTCAGAAGCGTCTAAAGCTATATTTTTATAAAATGGCAGGAGTAGCAAGGAAGCTGCAGAACATGTTGTGAGGCATACTGAGAAATGGATGCTTTCCAGCACTCTTCCAGTGTGGTCAATTAGTAAATGTGTTACCTACCAGTTTTTAGTCTTTTACTATCTGATGCATTCCTAGTCTTGTTTCACTTTAAATATTAGAAGCGTCTTGCAAGTATACCTTCAGATTTCCAATTATTAACTTTTTTGCACCATACAGTTAGAACACTGCTAATCAATCATAAATAAAATAAAAATCAGGTAATGATTTTGCCACATGCACCTCTGGGCAAGTTAAGTAGAAAGAAATTCCCCATTCAAAGGAGCAGAATAAATAAGTGAGCATACAGTTAGCAGCAAGGTATAGCTTTCACTTGAAATAATGAGTTCATTGTTCTGCCTTTGTTCATTACACTGGCAGCATAAACATGCAATATGCTTGGAGCCTAATGGAGTAAGGGGGAAAGCTGTTGGGGAAAATCTAAAAACTTGTAAAAGTGAAATAGGTGTGTACTAATGTTTGCCAGAAATAATAAAAGTGCAGGATACTTGCTGAATATCTAGGGTACTGTCAGTTCAGGCTTTTTATAGATTTAAAATCCTAGATTGTAACCACTCTCTATAGAAAAAGCTAACCGTGTTTCTCACAGCAATACAATCAGCTCAATTGTGAGTACAATTTAACTTCTACAGCCTCCTGGAATGTGTGAGTACTTCATTCAATGACAGGAAGATGTCCTAGACATAAGATTACTGAGAAAGGTTAAGAGCCTGCATCAGAAAATCAGAATAGTTAATCTCACTCAAATTATGTTGCACTGGAATTCATCTAAAATTACATGTTTTTTCCTCAGTTTCATTAGATTGCTTGCTGCTGAAGTGCAAAGTTCAGTTCCCCTTCTGCTTTTTGGATCCACAGTTTATTCAACTCAGAAAAGCCCTAGTCATCAAACTATGTGGTAGACTAGACAGGCTTGAAAGTGTATTCAGGGTGATGCGAGCTAGTTGCCGTTGTTACTTTAATGTTCAAGGCTGCTTTTCCTCCCTCTGATTATTTCCATCAGCATCTACTAGAAAGCTGTGCTTGTGGTAACTACATCTTTGTAGTGAAGCTTTAGTGATGGTGAAAGAATTTTCAGAGTTCATGTTATTAGGAACATGCAAGATAACAGTTGTACTTATCACTTATTTCAGTGCAGTACTGAGATATGCATATTTCTAGTCTAAAGTTAACTATTTTCTCATTCGGTTGCGAAAATATTGAATTAAACTTGGATCTATGCTGTTGCTAGTTGGAAGAGAAAAGCCGACATTAGACACTCTGTGTCGGTAATGAATATACTGATTAAGTACACGAATGGGGATTAACTAACTAAGTGGGAGTACTGTTTTCTAAATTGAGAAGAGTACATCTTGCAAGGAACTCCAATCCTGCAATTGCAAAAAGTTTTCTACCCTCTTACAGCCTGAGAGCTTTCATCATGAAGCTTTGCAGTGGCTTGTTTTGAACAAGAATACTCTTTTGATGAGTGTAATTTTAAAGTTTAATGCTGTGGGGGGTGGAAAAAAAAGATTGAGAAATGAGCAAGAGTTGATTCACGTTGGGCTTTTTCTTGTGCAGTACAGATAGATGTGAGGTTAACCGAGAAGTCATTGCTTAAACTTCATTTTTCATTACTTTTTGCTATCTTTTCATTTACTGGTTTTGAGGTAACCATTTCTTAGTGGTCCCGAACTTTTGCATAGTATGGAATCCTGAAATAACACTTTTGTTTATTCTATTTCATGTTTAGCCTCAATTAAGGAAGAGTTGGATTTCTTAATGAAATATTTTTTATATTGTCCATCTTAACTGCTTGGGCCCTTCTCCCATCCCATTATATTTCACAAGTTGGGGATCTTAAAGTATATTGCCTGAAGTCAGTATAATTATCAAAATAATAAATATTAATTGCTGTTTTTTTTTTCCATCTTCTGTAAATAGAGAACTGCAAAGGATAACTGCTGAAAGGCTTTTAAAGTAGCAGAAGTAGGCAACAGCAGATGGGTTATTTGAGGAATTCAAGCATGGTGTTTTAATGTTAAGAAGTACATTTAAAAGGAAGGACATATGGTAACAGGTCTTGAAGACAACTGAAGACTAAGTTCACAGTTTAAACATTTACATTTGCTGAAATGTGATGGAAATTTTTTTCTTCCAGGAATATTTCATAGAAGCATCAGGCAAATATATCATTCCACTGAAAACTATTAAACAAATATATAATTCCACTGAAAACTATTAAAGGGGTCAGGTTTTCCTTCCTGACCCCTACGGATTCTTTCTGAGCTGCAGTCGATTTGCCAGAATCACTAAGCATTTTAACCTCCCTCAGATGGTTCATTAACAAACTCGCTCTATTCTGATAGTT